CTAAGGAGGAGTGGCTGGCCAGGCAGGGGACAGTGAGCTCCTGGGGGAGGGCACAGAGAGCAAAAGCACGCTGCCCTCAGTGAGGGAGCTTCATGTCAGGGGACCAGGCCTGGTGGCGAGTGGGTGACACTGTGTGAAGCTGGTAAGGATGGGCAGATGAGAAGCGGCTTTGTGTGTCTGGCTACGTTGCATGTGTGTGTATTTCATAAACCAAAGGCAAGGACTTATTACAGTTGATAGAAATCTCAGGCTAAGAGTGAGGTAGCCCTGCACTCAGGGCCCCGCCTGTCTGTTTGCTTATGTTCTGATCTTGGGAGATCATTCAGAAGACCTGAGAGGGTACTCTGGACCTTCAGTGGGGGTGAGGAAGGCCAGACTGTGCAGAGAGAGGCTGAAGTGTGGGTGCCTGGGGGCTGGGCCGGCCTTTGCGAAGTCTCACACCCAGGAAAGAGTTCTGGCCTTTGTTTTGCAGTCAGTAGATCCGGGCTGCTCTTGAGGAGGGAGTAAGTAAATATTGGGGCGAGGCAGCCCTCTCTGGTGGAAAGTAATTCCCAGGGGTAATTGCCAATTGGCTCAGCGGCCAATATTCCTAGTAGCAATGAGTCCCTGGCTTTTGAATAGAGGTCTGGGGAATGCATAGTAAACACACACACATACATACATGTATACACATATATGCACACACATACATGTATACACATATACGCACACACATACACACACACACATACATACATGTATACACATATACGCACACACATACACACACACACACATGTATACACGTATACGCACACACATACACACACTCAGAGACAGACTGACAGATATGCCCCCCGTCTGCTACCAAGGAGTTTTCTTATCCAGATTTTCTGGGACTCAGAGAAGCATAGTCCTCAGAAACTACTTCTTTTCCATGGACTCCTGGCTACTTTGATTTAAGGAGGGTGAATGTTCCTGCTTCTTGAACCATCCCTTTCCTACGATCGCTGACCAGCTAGAGGGTAACAGGGACTGTGGTGGCTGAGATCGAGTTCTCTACCTCCGGTAAACACAGAGGCTGCACACCTTGCCTTCCCAGCTGTTACTGCTGGGAGGAGAAAGCGCAGGAGAGGCCAAGGGTGTGCTGAGCACCTGGCTCTCCCCAGCTCAGTCACTGAAAGAACAGGAAGCCAGCACCTGTGTCTATCAAGTCCAGAGAATTTCAGATCCCCTGGGATTAGAAACAAGACTAGCCTTCTCTGCTGTCCCCCCACCCCGTCTCCTGCCTTCCTCTGCAATTCTTTCACCTTCCTTGTTCTGTCAAAGTGGAAGGAAACCACCAGGGCTGGTCTGCAGGGGCCTTCAGCACCGCTGCAGAGTCCTAGCAGGTAGGGCTTACCTTTCTCAGGAGGAGATTCGGAGCCCCTCATTTTTCAGAAATCTCCCCGGGCTGTGCTGAGGCCCAGGTGTGCGCTCTGTGCTCACTGCTTCGGCCCCGTACATAGCTGTGTCTCATTCAGTTTAGTCAAAGGCAGAAAATCCTCTCACCCAAACTGTTCTGTCAACTGGGGAGTTTGGAACAGGTAATTCCAGGAATGTTTTTATATCCAAAGGATATAATAATCAGAGGACGTGTGTAGGAATTCCCAGTTCCACGCATAGTTACAGGGAACAGCTCCAGGACTCAAATGTTAATTACGACAGAACCAGTCTAGACAGAGCTGCCTACACATGAAAGAAAGTTTTCAACGGGTAGAAAAAGGGAAGGCTTTTAGAAACAATACCCAGTTATTCAGATATTGTGTATTCCAGATTTAAACCTTTAAAACTCTAAATGAAGCCTATTGGTCAAAATAACATACAAGTTGAGCTTTTAGACTCTGAAGTCAGACATTCTGGCCTAACTGTTAGTAGTTATAGGGACTTGGAAGTGCCTGCATTTGTAAATAAATCCAGAGCAGCCAGCATCTTTAATTTGCTCTGTATTGCAAACACATAGTCTGTATACCTGAGATAACTACATAATGTGAGATTATACCAGATTACACTAAATATGTCCTCACTCTGATGAGTCTGAATGACACATTTCTAAGTATGATAAACGCCCTCACAACATCATTGTAGCTGAGTCACTTGACTTTTTCATTCCTTCAACAAGAGTTAATTTGAGACCCTCAGTTGGGTGTTGTCAGTGCCGACATGAACAGAAGGGGACTCTGGTTTTACCTTCTTAGTTCTGCCTGGCTGTTTTAGGAGACAGTCACGGGTTTTATTTGATTAGCAACCTTCCCTTCTTTGCCAAGGAACAAGGGCTGCTGTGCCTGTGGCCCTGTTCTCCAGCCCTGCTTCCCGCAGTCCTGAGATTCTCTTTTCTTCTGTCCTTTACTTACGCTGAAAGGGGCCGCCCCGCATCTGGCTTGGTGCTGAGCCAGGAAATGTGTGGTTCCTGGACTGCTGTGCAAAGAAATGGAATTAGTGCCAGCAGTCGTGGTCACAGGGCAGGCTACGGCCAGCTTGTAGTAGTCACTGTATTTAAGCAACTGATCAGAATATCTTATTTACCAATTTAAAGAACATTAATGAGAATATGTAGTTTAAAGTGAGTACCATAAAAAATGGTAGCATTTGAATATTTTGAATTATCTTGGTATTTCATTTTATTTTATTTTTTGAAACAGAGCCTCACTCTGGTGCCCTAGCTAGAGTGTTGTGGCCTCATAGCTCAGAGCAACCTCAAGTTCTTGGGCTGAAGTGATCCTCTTGCCTCAGTTTTTCTATTTTTAGTAGAGATGGTGTCTCTCTCTTGCTCAGGCTGGTCTCAGAGTCCTGAGCTCAAGCAGTCTGCCCACCTCAGCCTCCCAGAGTGCTAGGATTACAGATGTGAGCCACCAGGCCCAGCCCCTGAGTGCTTTAAATTATCTTGAATTCTGTCATTTCCCCATGGATTATTTTTTAAAGTTAATAATATGTTGTTATCCTTCCTTGGTTTGCATAAGGATGTGTATAAGGATCCTTTATCTTTTCTTCAGCTGTAAGAATGGCATTGTCGGCTCCCATTTATTGAGCTTTGTCTGTGTACCAAGGCCTGCCCTGTACACACCCCCACAGCGGCCCAGCAGGTGTGTAACCCACACAGTGCTCAGGGGGCTGAGCTGCAGACCCAGGCAGTCTAGTCTGGACCCTTGTCCTTGTCCGTGCATCTCAGATAGTTCATGGAATGAAAATCAGTTAGAATGGTTGATGTTTTTTACTAATAATTGGAGATTATCAGCTGATAACTGATGCTGTGGAATCAGTTAGTCCGTTGGTGTTTTTTGATG